ATAATAATAGTGATAATATTAATAACAATAATAAATGATAATAACAACAATAATAGTAACATTATTATTAACTTTATCTTTTGCTTTTTTTTTAAATTATTAAACGTAAAATGAACTATTTTCTTCTTTCTTTAAAAATCAAGTATTTATTTATTTTTTACTAATTATCGACAAGTTTTTTTTCCTTTTCAGATTAAAGCAGGCGAAAATCATAAGCGTATGGATGAATCGGAAAATATGCATATCACAACGGCTAATGTTTTGAAAATCCAAAGTAACAAAAGTATACATTAATTTAAATGCACTGAGCCAAAAAAAAAGGAATCAAATTAGTTTGAGGAAATTTCTGTGCCACTATTTCATGCAGTTTTATTTAAAATAAAAACAAATTATCTCTTTTTTTTCTCCATTCTTTTTAATTCATTTACTTTATCAATCAATAAATATTATTTACTTTCCTAACTAAACATCAATTTTAGACATACAAAAAAAAATTGCGAACTTACTTTTATTCCAAGTAATAATTAAAAATTGAAATTTTTATAGCTATAAGCTAATGTATTAAGTTGCGTTTTTTTTTGGTTTGAAAAAAATTTTAAAGTTGAAAAATAAAATACAATGCAATTATATTTCTGTCAAAATTGATATTAGCCGTGATTATACAATCATAATCATTGTTACTATTATAATTATAGTTATTATTTTATGATTTAAGATTGCTATAATTACAGATATTCGTGATTTTCTTTTCTTTTCCTTTTTTTTCCAGGCAATAACAAAAAATTATTACGAAAAACAGGAAAAGTGAAGCCGGAAGAAGTATCAACACCTACCCATTTCGAGTAGCACTTTTTTTATCTTTACTTTTTGAAATTTTATTTAATTTTTTCTTAAATTTTTGAGCAAAATTTTAGCTCTTAATATGTTGATAATTTATGTATACAATCACTGCATAATTTTAAAGTTTTATTTGTTTCGAATATTCTCTCTTTTTTTTTCCTTTTATAATTAGCCAAATAATTTTTTAGACATTTGGTACATATTGAAGATTTACAATCGAATGCCAATAATTTTGTTGTAACAGAATTATCGCACGATCCAATTATCAGAAATATTTTCAATATGATCGAGAAAAATATCGCTCATACGGATCGTGATGCTATCACTGTTATCACTCCTACTGATAATATGACAGAATTGTGTCTGGAATCAATCAAAAAAAATCAGGAAAATACTACTGAAAACGTTACAGTTTGCATTCATGATGTCGAAACATATGATAATTTTAACAATCATACCATTCCATTTTATATCACAAACGAAAAACAATCAGTACAACAACGAAATAACTCGAAATTAAATTTGAAATGTAATCAAAAAGTATCGGATGATAAAAAAGATCAATCAATACCACATAATTTGGCATCAAATTACGGAGAAAAGGATAATCAAAAAAGCACCGAAAATTTTTTGATATTACCTAAACGTCATACCAAACTTACATCAATATCATCATCAGATTCTACCGAAGCTACATCACCTTTAACACCATCTACACCAATCTCGATATCATTCCAATATCCTGATCTAAAAAAACAGGAAGCTGCTTATGATGCTCTCATTTCTGGAAATACCGAAAAGGTCGTTTCGGAAAATTTGTATGAGAATCAGGAAGAAGCTATCATTGTTAACTCAATGCAAGCTGGTACAAATAATTTTGAAATGAAGTTTACCGATTATGACGATCAGATGGAAATTCAACAAGCATTAAAACAATTGGATGATGCATTGGATGAGCAAATTTTCATTGAAACTTCTCAAACATTGAATCCCGAAAAATCGAATATGATGATATTTGATGAGGGGAGTGAATGTACGAGATCAATTGATAGTAAGAAATCAGTGAAACAATTAGTTGAAATGCTTGATTCAAAGCAATTACAATTTAACAAATGTAATATGCTGCCAAAATTACATCCAACTCTAATCAATCAGGATTGTAATTTTACACCAGATAGCAAAAGTAATACGAAAACAAAAAAAACTTCATTGTATATATCGGATCCGGAAACATCATCAAAACCATCTCTCATTGGTGTTAACATTTTTGGTCTTAACAATGGCAAATCAATAGCGGAAATTATTGCTGAAAAAAGAAATCATAAAAATCATTCAATTCATAAACCATCACCAACATCACCAAAACCTTTCCTAAAAAAACCACTTCCAATTCCGAAATTAAATAATTCAAATGAGGACGAACAACAGAAATTACTTCGCCAATCATCATTAACTCAAACAATTCACTCATCTGAACAACTAATATTTGATAATCGAAAAGAAAATATGATTTTTACAACGGATAAAAAGCCAAAAATTCAAACAAAACTTCAAAAAATATCAAATTCTGAAATGCTATCAACAATTATTAAAGTTGATGATTCAGAATCCTCTATTAATTTCCAATCAACACTAACTAATACGGCTAATTCTTTTTCTGTACCATCAACAATAATTGATAATGCTATCGGGAAGGATTTAAATCAACAATGTTTACCGAAAATACAGCATATAGCACGAAATCATATTTATGAAAATTTAAATCAAAATGATAATGAGAAATATTTGGAAACATCATTTGATGGACCAGTTGCAATGACAGTGATAAGTGAAAGTAAAAATGGTACAACGAAAAATTTGGCATATATTTGTGATAATGATAATGTGATATCAGTGAGAAAAGTAAGAATGATCAATTTTTTTCATATATGTTTAAGTATTTTAGAGAATCACAGTAACCTATTTCAGTTATAAAAGTAAAATAATTATAATTCTAACTGTATTAGAGTAAGTCATTTTAGATTACAAATATGATAACTATGATTGATTATAATTAAAATGAAACAAAAATTGTGCATTTCAATGTTGTCAAATATGATGATTATGATTAAATATAACTCATGATATTAGAATAGTTTATTCAGTCATATAAAGTGTAATAATTATGATTAAGTACAGTTATACAGGATCACAATAGTTCATTTGTGATAAGAAAAGATAATATGATAATAATTCAAGTTTTTTTTTGATAAATTACTGTTAAGTTTCTTTTTTTTTGCTATGATTGTTAATAATTCCTATCACAAGCTTATTTTGTTTAGGATGCTTCACACATTTCTCATCAACAACAACAACAACAACAGGAAGATTCTGTTACTGATAAGGGGAAACATTTTGTTGATAATATTCCAACCATTATTTCTATTTCGTCAAATGATGCATGTAATTATGCTCATAATGTAAAATGGCGAAATGATTCTATGAAACGAGCAAATTTTGATGTACCATTGGAAAATGAACGAAATTCTGAACCGATATCACCACAACAGACGTGTTTTAAACGGAATAGTTACGGTTCCGTTTCGGATAAGCGAATAATGCAACGTAGCACGTCACTGTATTACACTTCAAGTAACAATGAATCGAGTGATATTGTAATGAATTATGATTCTGATAATGTTCGACAACATTCCTCAATCATTAATCGATCATCCTCATTGTCTATTCCGGAAACAGCAAGAATTCCGGTTCGACCGGTACCGGCACCACGGCAAAATGATTGCATGAAAGGGATGACAATAACTGTTGATATGCCACAGGTTACATCATTTTCTTCATTTTATTTTTTGTATTTCACATTCATGATTTAAATTTTTACATAGCGCTTATCCTTTTTTCATTTACATGTGCTCATAAATGTAATTGTCATTTCGATTTCATATTTTATTACAATATTGTAATTTCGATTTAATATTTTGCTGTTACATTATAATTTTATTCAGTGTAAAATGTGAGAAATTATAAATTAATAATTACAAATCAAATTATAAACAAGTAGCTAATCCAAAAGTGCATTTATTGATTTATTAATTTTTTTTTTTGAAAAAATTTCGATTACATTTTTACGATAAAACTGAATAATGTGTTATTTGGTTGCAAATTTTTAATGAAAATAAATAACAAAAATTTGGAAATAAACAGTATTAAATTTATTCAAATTTTTGCAATTTCTAAATTTTAAGATTGAAAATACAAATTTTCGAAAAGAATTGAAACGACCAGTACCGATACCGCGACAAAGCAAACTTAAGGTAACCTAAAATGGAAATTTCAATTTTTCTTTTTTTCCAAAGCTAAATTAAATAGCTAAATTAAATAGAATGAAATTTTCAGTTTTTCTTCCCAAAGCTAAATTAAATAGCTAAATTAAATGAAATGAGATTTTCAATTTCTCTTTCCAAAGCTAAATTAAATAACATATTAATTTAAAATATATGCTACTAGGAGAAAAATACTAATTTTTTCACAATACACTATTCATCAATCAATTTCCAATTTTTATTCATTACTAATTACTAGAAGAGAAAAATTAAAATGATTACATTAAGCCAATCTTGATATTGATACTGCTTGAATGTAAATTATCATTTTAATTTCAATTTTAAACTTCAACTCTTTAATTTAATTCATTTCATAAGTTATCGATCTACAATTTTAGATAGCATTAAATGATGATTTGTTGAAAAAAGGTTCATTTTCTGTGACAAAAATACAACACGGTATCGTTAATTGTCCGGAATCAATGGTAACTTTCAACTTTTTATGATTCATACTTTTTTTTTAACGGAAAAAATGAAAATCGTACGTTAGGAAGAAATCTGAAATATACAAAAATATCTTGAAATAAGAACTAATTAACACGTATGAAAAATTTTTATGAAATTGATCGTAATTTAGCACTTATGATTGAAACACTTCAAATAATCTGCTTTTTTCCAATAAAAAAAATTAATTTTATATTTTTTGATCTGAAATATCGTTTATAAATTAAAGCTTTTTAATAAAAAATTTTCGAAGATATGATATTTATTTGTATTCTCTTTTACAGATAACAATCGCAAAAACAGTGAAAAAAGTTAGTGAGGAAGAGAGTGATAGAAGCGAATGGATGTTACGTTTGTAATTTTTTGTTTAGTGATAATTTTAAATTATTGATATATCAAATGAGTAATAAGAATTATTACCAATAATTCCTCCATGATATTTGTTTGATAGGAAATTATTAATTGTTTTTGCTCCATTATTTGATTATAATTA